GCCATGCTTTTCTTTGTTTGCTTTTTTATCCCATATCCTTTCCCAAAATTTCTTTTCCCTTCAGTCACTCAGGCATCCATTCTCATTTCTGTTTCATGCCTGTCTTTTCCAAACCACCCTCCACATGTTGAATTTCAGACATGTGGCTCCAGGAACATGGGCTATACTGCTCTACATGTACCATCTCATTCCTCCCTTGGTGACATTGCAGTCTACCTGTCATGCTACCTTGTACTCACTGCATTTCTGTTCATTTGGTTTTTTTTGAGACGGAGTTTCACTCTTGTTACCCAGGCTGGAGTGCAATGGCAGGATCTCGGCTCACCACAACTTCCGCCTCCTGGGTTCAGGCAATTCTCCTGCCTCAGCCTCCTGAGTAGCTGAGATTACAGGCACATGCCACCATGCCCAGCTAATTTTTTGTATTTTTAGTAGAGACGGGGTTTCACCATGTTGACCAGGATGGTCTCGATCTCTTGACCTCGTGATCCACCCACCTCGGCTTCCCAATGCATTTCTGTTTGAAAAACACCTTGCATGGTGCTTGCCACTTCATAGGTGCTCCACGAGTACTTTGATAAAATAATGAATTTCTATATCTATTTATCACTCTTCCTCACAAGAATATATGACTACTGTGTATGGTTTACACACAGGGCTTCAGTGCTTTCTACAAATGGGAAGGCATAAACTCCGCTTTTTACTTTCTGAGCTTACCCAAAGAAGGCTTGAATTATCCTGAGAACCCCCAGGGTAAAGTGGAATGACCATTGGAGTAGGAATCTGGAGATCTGAGTCAGAATTCTCAAGTCTACACATTTGTTACTTGAGAGATCTCAATTTCGTTATTTGTAAAATATGGGCAGCAAAATCTATCTTGTTTACCTCTCGTGGTGGTCAAAGGAGCTAAAAGTTGGAAAGGTTTTGGTAAATGGCAAGAACTTAACCCTCCACCCTTATATAAGGTTATTTATACTGTCATTAACTTAGAGATCAATAAAAATGAGTTCATTTTAAGCTCCCTGGGGAATAGTGTCAGGCCACATAGTAGGAACTTAATCTTTATGGAATAGGGAAATAATCTCGCTCCCCTTTCTGAACTATCTCTCACTTACTTTCTACATTTTAATACCTCACTTCTTGCTGTTCAGCTTTGTCTTCATTTTCAGGCCAGACTCATGTCCTTGACGTAGAGGACCAAAGAGTCACATCTTTCTCGTGACCTATCTTGCTCCATTGGACATGGGAGGTACTTCACCTCTGATTGCATGAATATCACTGTCTCCAGAATTCAAATTCTTTGGAGGATTTTGACCACAATATCTTCCTTAATTCACACTCACATTTTTATATCAAATCAATGGAATGGACGAAAAGAAAAAAAAAAATCTGTGCAACAGGTCATGAGAGAGGAAGAATTGGCACCAGAGATTTAAAAGGCAATACTCTGGCCTGAAGTCCTGGAGAGGTGGGAGAAGCAGGTGTTACAGCCCTGGCACCGAAAGGAAGTGATACAGTTCAAGCCACTAGACCAATCTCCATTCCACCTAAATAGTCCCTTCCGGTACTTTTGACCTCATGCCTGGGGTTCAGGGGTCAATCCCTTACAATATCAAAGGAGAGCAGCAGTGCCCCATCTGTGAGAATGGAAAGGCTTCCTGCATACCTTCAGATTTCCTGAGGAGAAGCAGCACTGCTTTTGTTTCCTCTGAGCACTTCCCCTGAAATACACTGCAAACAAAAACAGCTCTGAAATTCAGCTCCGTTTAAGTTCAACTTTCCAAACCTTTGCTGCTAATCCTTTTTTAATTGACATGGAATGTATCCTCAATTATTAATAGAAAGTGTATTTTTTGGAGTCTAATTAAAGGCCCTAATCACATTCCTACCATTAAAAATGGTTTTAGATTTTGTTGGTTTTTGTCTTTTAATGAGCTATTTACTCTGCTGATAACTCCAGTGTGGCTGAAAGGGGAGATTCAAAAACAGCTCCACATACTCAAAAAGAAATAGCTTTGTTATTGATAAAAATAATAACCTCATGTACAGCAGGGGGTGGTAAGAAAGCCTAAATTTATGGCTGCTGTGTTGAATGCGCAAATGTCACTTCCTTAAAGAGGGAAAATTAGTTTTTAAGCCTGGTTTAGCAGCCAGAATCTCTGGCGGTCTGCATAATATTGGATTTTTCAAAGCTTCTATGATGCCCTGGGGTGGGCTGTTTTGCATTCAAATTGCAAATTATGTAATGTTGAAGATGTTATTTAAGGAAGAAATGACGACCGAGTTCTCATTCTTTTTTTATCCGTTTTCCTTTTCAACCTTTCTTGTCCTTCAACTTTAGCTGGCATTTATTGAGTACCCACTGTATCTTCGGTGCTTTCATATCATTTGAAACTCATGACGATCATTTGAAAGCGGTGGAATTATATAATTTCAGTGGATGAAGAAACTGAGGCTCAGAGTCTAAGAGATTCTGCTAGGGCTTGTTGAAACAGAGACTGCCAGGCCCCGCCCAGAGTTTGTGATTCAATAAGTCTCTGAGTAAGGCCTGAATGTGCCCTTTCAACAAGTTCCCAGGCCATGCTGACACACATTGAAAATCACTGCTCTATAACACGCTACCTTCTCCTCCAACTTTTAGGCTTAGAGCTGGAAAAGATTCCAAGAGGTCATTTGATCTGTGTCCCTGCTCTCAGATAGATGAGATATTAATTATGCCTATTTTATAGATGACTCATTAGAGAATTGTTATGGGCAGCAAAGGGAGGAAATGTCCTGCCCAGAGTCAGCCAGGTGGTAAGTTCTGGGCTACTCTCATTCATCATTAGGGTGACATTTAGCAGACAGGACATTTTTAAAGTAAGAACTCATCTTGTAAGCTAATTTCCCAGTCAACCTGCTGCCCTGCAGGCCAAGCCTCAACAGGAAGCAAGTTAGCTGGTTGGAGCCAGTTCCTTCCAGTTACCAGGATCAACGTCCATCACTCACAATGAGGGTGAGGGGAGTGGAAGAGGACGGTGTGGGAGGCAAGACACATCCCTAAGTCCAAGCCTAGGCTTCAACTTTGCCAAGGCCTTTGTCCACTCGAGAGGAAGTTATTCAGGTGACTCACAAAGTTGCAGTGAAGGTCTGGGATAGAAAGAAGACATTCATCATTTCATTTTACACTTGTATCTTATATTCCCATAATACCCTCTTTTAGTAATTTAGTAAGTTATTGTCTTTCTTTGTATTTTTGCACCAGCAAAAAGCTTAATTGAAAAAGAAAGGCTTAAATATTTCAACATAAACACTTAAAATAAAGTATGATTTCTTTAAGCCTGATGTCATATTTCTTCACTTTTTCAAATTAAAATGAGTGTCAGAAGAGTGGCTTAGGTTTCCCTCTCCACCTATGAGAGATGCTGACCAGGGTACTCATGGCTGTATAGAAGCAAAACTGCAGGAAGCAACATTTATCAAGGTATAAAAGAGAGGAGAATTGCAGAAAACTCCTGGATTTGTGTTCAAGCCTGCACATCTCTGGAAAATCCCCATTCTGTTTTGGAGAAGTTGGAGGAGCAGAGCCTCCATACAATGCCTGATTATGAAATCAGAGAAACCTCCATCTGCAGAGAAACCTCCAATCAGCCCCCATCCCAGCCCCCCTTCTTCTTAAACCTGTGCTCCATGCTGCACCAGCGTCTTTGCAGGAAGGCTTAGATCTGAGCATTTCATGCACCTTGTTGGATCTTCCACAGGGACAATTGCTCTAAGATAAAGCCCACATCCCTAGTCATAGATTACAAGACCAGGCACACCCAAAAGCAAGAGCTGAGGCCAGCTAATACTAATTGTCACAGATTAATGGCACTGGTTTTGTTTGCATGCCATCTCCAGGTTTGTGTTTAAAAAAAAATTGTGTATAAAATCCCAATCAAGAAAAAATAACATTACCATGTAGGAGTTTACATCCATTGTTTGGATATGATTGCAAGGAAGATGGGGGAAGTTCCAATCTAATTGCTATGGAAACATAAGTACTTTTCATCCTATTTTTTAATAAAGTCTCAGTACTTCTCCCTACATTTTCATTAGATTTGAACTTGCACATTTAAATACCAGCACATGTCTAGAACCGAGAGTCCTGAATCTAGAGACAAAAGCAATCTGAAATCAGAGGAGCAGAGGCATTTTATCAGAAAACACGCAGGTGGAAAAACACAAGACTGGGATCTGTCCCAGGCTTCTTTTGTTTCCAAGTCTGTGCTCTCCACTGCCTGGCCACATATGTGCATGAGGTGGGGCAGAGGACAGGTAGGGTGGGGTATCTCCTGAGAGCCAGACCTGTGACAAGCCCACCACCATGCACAATAAGGCTGCCATGCTGAACTTACCATATGAACTTGGTCGATTTCTTTATCCAATTTGAGCTTTAAGTTTCTTTTCCCTCAGGGTGCTCACCACTCTGAAACCCTGATTCAATAAAAACATTTCTCTCTATTCATCTTTGCAGACTTCATAGTCGAGGGATAAATAAAATGTACTGATTGTTTAAAAACTTCTTGCAGATTTAAATTAGAAGTTAATTCCTCCTACTTTCTGCTTTTCTGTCCCTCTCTTATTCTCCATCCTCCTCTTTCTCTACCTTTTCTTTTTTCTCTCTCTCTATGCTTGCTCCTTGGTTTTTCATTCTTTCCCTTTTGCATTCTGTAAACAGCCAGCCATCTTCCACAGCTCACTACCCCTCAGATTGCTAAGTGAGCAGAACTCCTTGGGCAAAGGTCACAAGTGTGCTGGGTGATTATATTAATCAGCTTGGCCCGCCATAGCAAAATACCACAGGCTGAGTGGTTTAAACAACAGAAATGTATTTTCTCACAATTCTCCAGGCTGAAAGTTCAAGATCAAGGTGCCAGTAGGTTTGGTTTCCCGTGAGGCCTCTCTTGCTGGCTTACAAACAGCTGCCTTCTCCCTTCTCCCTGTGTCTTCACATGGCCTTCTCTTTGTGTGCTGAGAAATACAAAGAGAAAGAGAGAGAGAGGGCACTCTGATGTCTCTTCCACTTTTATAAGGACACCACTCTGATCAGATAAAGATCTCATTCTTATTATTATCTCACTTAACCTTTATTATCTCTTTATAGACTCTCTGCCAAAATACAGTCAGTCACTCTGGGGATTAAGGGTTCCACATATGAATTTGGGAAAGGTCATAATTTGCCCATAATGATGATCTAGAATAAGCATGAACCTTTTTGCATCTACAAAATGGGAATTTGGGGCCAAGTGATCTCTTAGATCCTATATAACACATTGGCATATTCTTCTCTCACTAGGAACCAGAAGAACCACAGATGGCACCTCTGTGCTCCTGTCTGCCTTCCTCAATGTCATCTTCTCTTTTGTCTTCCATATGACTCCGTAAAAGATGTGAGATTTCCCAGAACTGTGGAGGGTCTCCATTCCACCTGGAGGAGAGGAGATGAAGGTCTCAGACACTTCCTGGCAAGGAAGCAGCCTGCTAAATGATGCCAACAGTGACTGACGAGCAAGTTCTGATTCAGCAACCACAGGAGCTTAAGGGCACTTCAGTAGCTCTTAGACACTGGACCCTAGAGCAATGAGCAATATGAATCTATTAATGGCAAATCACATCACAAAAAATGGATCCACCTTGGCATGAGCTTTGTAAATGAGGGCATGAGAGGACCAGAGGGGCTTTGATGTTGTGGACCTGAGGGACGCTTCCAGCCACAGCCTGGTGAAATCATGGGATTGGCAGGCAGTTTAAAGGACAATGCAGTGACAGATGAACATGTAGTTGTATAAATAAATTATCCAGAAGCTCAGAAGCATGGCATATGTAAGTCTTTTTTACTGCTTTCATATTGAATAGTTCTTGGCAACCATGATCCCTGTCCTCAGTGTCTTGGGTTTGAGTTTGTTCATTCGGAGGATGTGACCATGCTGGGGTCAGGGTACAATCTTTGCTCAGCAACAATTTTATTTATAGTGGAGAAGTGGAGTCAACAGTGGTTCTAAATCCTTGTTGATAGGATGTGAAATGTGACGCTTCAGGTCACAAAATGAACCCTTCTTTATCTGGTCCTTGTTTGCTCCTCCGACCTTGTCTACTGACTCAGCCATTCCAGCTGAAATGCTTTTCACTGGTTGCTAAATAGTCACAGCCTGTGTTCCTAGAGTACCCCCCCCCCGCCCACCACTCAATCTCATCTAAGGCTTAGGGTTCACTTAACTAGTACTTTCCTTAAAACTCCTCAGCATTTCCCAAGACTCATTAACTAGTGATGCCTGGCTCTACCAGGCATGTCCTGTTCTTGTCGGTTCGAGTTTGTGGCAGACAGAGATAGTCGGCCCAGATCCTCCTTCAATGAAGCACTTATCATTTCATTGCCAGGAATCCAGTCATCAGATACTATCCAATATTGAGTTTGGCTGTAAAGACCTGGGGCCATGCTCCTCTTGGAACAATCATATCAAATAAATGAGCAGTATGGGATTTAAGCACCTGGCCATTTTCAGCTCAGTGGGGAATCTCCCAATAAGCAGGAATTTCTCAGAGCTGCCTTTGATTGGCCAAAGCTTTGTTGGGACTGGATCTTGGTGAAACATAAGCCCCTGGCCAATCTTCCTCCCTCTTCCTGCCACAGGTCAACACCTAATAAACCTTTTGGAGAGCTAATTCTGCCCCAGCATGTGCTTTCAGAGGACCTGGCCTGCAACAGTGCAGGTTTTATGAGTTGCTAAATGTTTTTACTATCAGTCCTCCTTATATAAACTGAATTGCTTTTAATTCCCAAGACACCCCCTATTCACTCAGGTTTCCAAATTTTAGCACCTGATGTTCTTTCATCTTGAGATTTCCTCTGTGCCATCACTCTTTACCTGGATTATTCTCATCCTTTTAAAACCCATCCTAATAGTCAAAATCTTTCAGTCCTGAGAAGCCCCTCCTGATAGTATTAAAGTTCTATAGCCGTGCAACAAACTACTGCAAATTTAAAACAAGACAGATGAACATCTCAGAGTTTCATATGGTCATAGGCTAGCTGCGTCCTCTGCTCATGGATTCACCGGGCTGGAATCAAGGTGCTAGCCAGGGCTGCAACCTCATCTGAGACTTACGGTTCTCTTCCAAGACCATTTGTGGTTTTTGACTGAAATCAATTTCTTGTAATAATGTAATTGATGTCGTATTATGTTGCTCTCTGTTTGCTTTCTTCTAGGAAAGCAGAGGCGTATCTCTTTGACACTTCATCTTCTTTTAAAGGGCTCACCTGATTAGGTCAGGCCCACCCAAGCTAACCTCCCTTTTGATTGACTCAAAGCTGACTGATTAATAACCCAACCACGGGAGTGACATCCAACCATATGCATAGATTCTAATCACATACAGAGAGAATAGGTTCTATCCACAGCACAACCAGGCACCCTAGCAGAGGAAGAAGAGTTTCGTACTGACAATTAACTTATCTGGTCTAGAAGTGACACCACACACTTTAGCTCAAAACTCATTGACCAAAGCTAAATATATAGCCCATCCAACCACAAGCGGCCAGGAAGAGACTTGCAGGTGGATAACTGGAAATATTTGACAACAGTTATCACAGACTGTCCCACAGGGTAAAGATTGTGTCCTTTATTTCTGAATCCTTGGGACTTATTTGGTGACTGAAAGACTGTCAACAAATGTGAACGTCAAGAAAGAACATTCCCATAAACATTTTTTTAAAAATAAATTTTCAAGGTATCTTACAGACCGTCTTTTCTTCCCTTCTACCACCTGGAAACCTAGAAAATAAAATTTTTTTCAACTGTGTTTTCATGACTGACATATATTCATTATTGGCTTCACAAAAATACTGTTAGTGATTTTTTTCTAAAATTCACATTTCTGAAACCAGAGAGCACAAAAACATTTCAGTGCTTCATATTTACGTGAAACCATGGATCTCTAGTATCCACGATTGGGATCCTCATCATGTATTTTAGGCTTTAGTGGTCTTCAGGGGACTCACTGTCCCTTCACCCATGTGCTTTCTGCAACCCTAAAAAAGAGATATTAGAATAGGGTTAAAATTAGTCATGGTGTGAATTGAACATTCATAGCAATCATTTTTATTACCTTTGTAAGAAAATGCCCTTGAAGAAGCAAACTTGGAACATTCCCTGCATTGTAGTCTTTTTAAATCTTGTCAGTATGACACAGATAAACTTCAGAGGAGCAGTGCACAAACAGTTCATTTAAGCAGCCAGAGCATTGGAAATTATGCACTTGGGAGGAACAATGAGCAGATTAAGGCTGTATCAGCCTTTTCCCAGACCTCTGATTTTAAATAGAACACTGTAGTTACTCCAACATTTTGTCCACTTAAACTATCTCTAAAGAATCCTCACCAGTGATTCTTCTTGTACAGTAGTAAATTTTAGGCTTCATTATCAAATTAATGAATTTTAATATCCCGTAGAAATGGGCAAAGTGGAATAATAAAGAAGTAAATGTGGAAAAGGTAGTCTCTTTTAGTACTGATACCCAGGCCTCCCACTGTCATCAGACAAGACCCTTGTTCTGTAAAAGCAATACTGGGAATGAGGTTGGGAACCAGGGTTATGGGGCTGCTAAGAAAACCTGTCTGGCTAGTGCCACTCCCTCAGTACTGATGCTACAGAAGACAGAGTCATTATTCGAAATTCCAGAGGATCCCAGAACAAAGGAGCCTTGAGTATTCAGATTCTAAGATGTAGAGATCTCAGATCTAGGCTAAGAAGTCCAGGGAGAGATGAGTCGAGTCAGTAAGAAGAAAGACATGTAAGAGTCCAGGTGAGCAACACAAATCCAGACCTGTGCACACACTCCATGTAGAAGGTCTAGGGTAGATGCTTCCTTAACACATCATGTGGTGAGACCAGACCATATGTGGCTGTGGCAGCCTAGAGCATCAGACTTGGCAGACAGGGGAAGAATAAGACAGATCATGAGGGCAAGAATAAAACAGTATGAGACCAAGACTCACAACTTGACAAAAAAACAGGGAAAGCAATCAATGGCTAAATGGAGAAAGAATAGGAACAGAAATGTCATAAAAATCCAGGGTTAATGCTAAGAGGAATGATAAACAGGTATGCCATAGAAACTAGGATCCAGGTGGAAGGAAGTTGAGATCAATTTCCTGAAATAACACATTGAGCACCCAGGGATTATTTCACCCTTTTGTGCCCCAAAGCTTAACAGCAGTTTCTAAAACTTTGCATAAACAAATGAACAACTATTAACACAAGTAGGTCTGAGGCTAAACCACTGTAGCCACACAGAGAACAAGTGAGCATAAACATGGGTTATAACAAGTTGGAAGAATGAGGATGCTATGGGAGCTTTTTTGAGTGGGGCCAGCATTCCACGAATGCATAAAGCAGGTACTTAATGTATATATTTTTTGACAAAAGCATAGCCAGTCTGCCCTGGAGGAGCTCACAGGCCAGCAGAACATATGACAGCATGACTATGTAGCATTAGCTGTTAGCTCCAACATTTCAATGAAGTTCTCTCTGCTTCCCTGGTAAAAGTCAGGAACCACTTGATAACTGTCAGCAAGAGCAGTAACCCTGTTGTAATGATGGGAAGATTTTTGACAGAAGCAAAATTCTCAATGTATGGCAAACTCAGTCAGTGTGATGTTAAAGGACCACTTGAAGAGGCGCCTGAGACTGCACATCCTACAGAAGGTTACTCTGCTCTCAACACTGCTGGATTTCACAAGTGAGAAAAGCCCTAGAGCACAGGCAACCACCAGATTCAAAAGAAGGATGGAAGCACTGTGGTCCTACAAGAATTTGAGCAGGCAGTCAAATGGCTATACTGTTCTAGTGGTTGTTTGGCAGAGGGTTACTTTTGGAGAAAGATCCCCGTGATCATAAGAGGAAAGGATCTTATTCCACTCTTCTTCCCTTTGAAAGAAATGTATCTGTTACCCAAAACAGGCTATGCAAACTTCGTTGTTCCCAGTTATCACAGGTCTCATGGGCATTGAGTAGAGGCTTGTCAACCATTAAAATTGATAGGAGAGTTCACACTACCATCTGATATTGGCCCTTTAGCCCTAAATTCAGGCGATCTCCACTTTACTGAGTAGTTAAGACTATTCTTAGAGTCCTAAGCCATGTGACCGTCAGCAATGAGCTGAAGTCCAGTACGAGAGTGCTTGGGTGGTAGAAAAGTCAGTCACCAAAAGCATCAAGTCCTAGAGAGGCAAAAGCAGCCTCAACCTCCAGTCCCATCTAAACCAGTGTTGGTACCTTAGGGGAATTATCTGAAAGTGAAGTCTGGGGTGAAGGAAGAATACTTTTAGCAACTGTGGCTCTCAACATGGAAGGAGATGGATCAGTCAGTAAGATGTTACTCACTACTCAACAATGAACACTCATTATTTAAACTCATTTTTTAAGGGGTGATGCAGGTCAAAAAAATAGACTTCAAGAAGCACAAGAGCTAGGACAGCAATATTTTCTTGAATTCCCATGATAGTCCCATTCAATGTCCCATTAAATCCTGGGACAGTGAAAGACCTTTTCCAAACGTGGTTACGGCTAAGTAGAAAAGGAGTAGTAGTGATTATTCCTTTGTAGACTCTAATTTTTGTCTGAGGAATCCAAATCTAAGGAAGGTTGAACTACACGTGTCCCTTGTATGGTGATGCCCTTAACCTACAGTTACCACCTGTTCTCCAGGCATTTGAGTACCTGACTTCCGCTCCAGCCATAATGAACTACTGCTTGCTGAGTAAACCATCTTCCCTCGTTGCATTTCCTTTGCTGAAACTGCCCTTGATTTTTCAATCTTTCTTCCTGGATTACTCCTGAGTGCCCTTCAAAACTCAGCCTGAGAGTTTTCTTCTCTAGTACACTTCTCTGGTCCTCCAGAATGCTGATGCATCCCTTCCAGAGCACCTTGGACTTGGCCCTCTGCTCATATTTTCCATCCTCGATTACTGACGTTTACTTTTCTGTCCCATCAGACTCTCTGCCCCATCTGTTTACTTGAGCAGCTGTGAGTTATTCAAGGGCCTGGACTATAAGACCACATCAAACCACAGTGTCAAAAATAATGTCTGATGCCTTAGTAAGCACTGAATAAATATTAATGACAAAAACCACAATTACTTTTGCACCAACCTAATATCTGTTGATCCTCTGAATGAAAAAGTACATGAAATGTTACTCAGGTTGAGTTTCTAAAATCCTTCATTTTACCACTGTAGGGAAGCATTCCAAACACCTTTAGGATTAGTTTGGTTATTATGTCATGTCTTTCAGAAGAATGCAGTTTATCAATGTTGCCATCAGTGGCATAAGGCAGTTTCTCAAACAATCAATTGGAAGAACTACACTGATTTAGAGGCTTGTGTTTGCGAAAAACAGTTTTACTGTTTAGATTCACACCTTCTTCTTTTTGAGTTTGTTTTGTTTCAACTACCAGCAAACTAGTAAATAGAATCCTAGATCTTCAAAATTCTAGAACTAGAGGTCAGGAAAGGTGGATGCCAATAAGAAAAAGAAAAAAATTCCATGGTCACGGACATTGCCCTAAAGGATAAATGTATCTCATCACTATTTTTGTGTTGTAAGTATATAAGTAACATAGACGGGAAAAAGTGGTTTGAATACCATTCTATATATAACTTCTACAAAGGTCTTTCAAACATTTCTTCATCAAAGAGTCCATTTCTTTTTGGGTCTAGCCAATCTTGCAGACTCCCCAGGAGACCTACGTTTCATCATGAAAACAGTCAATAATGTGTCCCAGGTTCAGAACCTCAATCTATACCCAAGTTCCCAGGAACAATTTCTTGTGACTCCCATGACTTCCCTTTACTTGTGACTTGGGAATTAGAGAACCAAGTTCGAGCTTGGTTTAGAAAGAAACTTAGACTTTCAGAATGTTTCTCTGACACCTAGATCCAAAGCCCAAATGCTTTTCTTAAAATAAATTTTTCTTTTAAATGTCACGTTTTGAAACTTAAAAAGTTATTTCCTAATTAGTTATGTTATTAAAAGAATATAACTGAGAAAACAACATAAAATGACAGAAAACCCTTAAAAACTTCTTTATTTCCTAGCAAGCAATCTACGTATTTCTGTTTGGCTAATACATGAGCATGAGTTTGTACGTTATGACTGTATGATATTCTAGGGCAGGAGAGTGGGAGAGAGGTTCTAAACTACATTCATAAAAATAATGATGATGCACTATATATAAGTAGGCTTCAGAATTCATAGCATGCTTTCACATTTTAATTTCCTTTAATTCTCACAACGGTTCTATAAGAGTTGGCTGGGTGGGCAAGCAAGATCATTTACTAAAAAGAGCAAAGGTTTTAAAATTAGACAGCCTAGCATCCAATTCGAACAGTGCCATTTATTAACTCTGTAATCTTTACCTAGTGTCATGACACATGCCAGCATCAATTTCTTTTTTCTTTAATCTGTAAACAACAGTTTATTTGTTTATTTATTTATTTATTTAATTGTACTTTAGATTCTGAGGTACATGTGCACATCTTGCAGGATTGTTACATAGGTACATACATGGAAAGGTGTTTTACCACATTCATCCCCCCATCACCTATATCTTGTATTTCTGCCCACATTATCCCTCTGCACCCTCCCCACCCACCGCTGTCCCTCCCCTAACCCCCACAGCTGACCACACTGGGTGATGCTCCCCTCCCTGTGTCCATGTGTTCTCATTGTTCAACACCTGCCTATAAGTGATAACATATGGTGTTTGGTTTTCTGTTCCTCTGTCAGTTTGCTGAGAATAATGGTTTCCAGATTTTTCCATGTCCCTGTGAAGGACATGAACTCATCGTTTTTTATGGCTGCATAGTATTCCATGGTGTATATGTGCCACATTTTCTTTAACCAGTCTATCATTGATGGACATTTGGGTTGCATCCAAGTCTGTGCTATTGTAAACAGCGCCACAATGAACATACGTGTGCATGTGTCTTTATAATCTCATATAAAGAGATTATATGAGAGATTGCTGGTT